TAGATAGATAGATACTTTATTTAACCCGAGGACCATTCATATGGCTCTATACTGTACATAGGTTTCGCTATGATGGATAAAAATAGGCTGATGTTATCATTACCTAACTCAAGTAATAACACACACTTGCTTACCTAAGGGTCCTTTTCACTGTCCAGGAGATGATATGACAGAGTTGCAGGTCATGTGAGTCATCTTACTTAAGTTTAGTCTGTTGTGTAAGAAGATCAGCAAAGTGAGGTTCAGTTTCTCAGTGAACCTGGGTTACGTCTCTGCACCACGCCAGATCTCTGTAAGAAAACATCTGTTTGGTGCCGAATACGAAATTAGAAACCAATGCAGAAAACGGGCCATAAATAAGGAGTTAATTTACAGTTCACATTCATTAATTCATTGTTAATATAAGAATATTGAGTATTAAGTTTCAAGTCTCCACAAGTTGATTTTCATAAAAGGTGAAATGAATGGGAACCAATCCTTCCTAAGTCCCGCCCCTTGTTTGCTCTGTGCTCCAATAACAGTTGAGTCAACTTTCTAATTTCCTGTACTCATTATGCTATGTGCTAGGCTAATCTATGTTGAAAAGACAACCACATTGTCAAGATGGTTAAAAGAGCTAGTGCTAACATTAGCTATCAAATGTTACTAGCTAGCTAGCGATAGATGTAGATTAGCTAGCGTTTTAGCTTGGTTTTTGCTAACAGTAGCTAACCTGAAATGTGACAATATACATACGCTGCTTTCATCTTTTTTAAAAGGTGGTCTTCTTTTCAGCATGATCGAAGCACATAGCATATCTAAGTAAGGAGAAAGCTGACCGAGGTTTTGACCGAGGCTTGCTCAACTGTTTTTAGAGTACAGACCAAAAAGGGGCGGGACTTAGGAAGGGTAAATTGCTGCCTAAAACACTGTAATATGCTTCTGTTACCAGTAATGTTCATAAATTATGTAATAAATTAGCTCAAACATGCAAAATGGTTCTTTAAGAAATCATTTCAGTAAAAATATTTTCTCCCCATCCAGAGGTGACCCGGACAAGTGTGACATCTGGGGAAACACACCGCTCCACCTGGCAGCTGCCAATGGCCACCACAACTGCCTGTCCTTCCTGGTGGCCTTCGGTGCCAACGTGTGGTGTCTGGACAACGACTACCACACACCGCTGGACATGGCCGCCACCAAGGGACACATGGAATGTGTTCGCTACCTGGACTCCATCGCTGCCAAGCAGATCACCCTCAACCCAAAGCTGGTCGGCAAACTCAAGGACCGGGCGTTCCGCGCCGCAGAGCGCCGGATCAAAGACTGTGCAAAGCTCCAGAGGAGGCACCGTGAACGTATGGAGAGGAGGTTCACGAAGGAGTCAGCAGCTTTGGACAACTTAGACGCTATCAGCTTTTCGAGCTACACCAGCGGCAGCACACTGAGCCGAAAGTTCAACACTGTCACCTCCAACATGCCATACTCGCAGGTGGTTGTCTTTATGATCACACCCACTTCTGGGTTAACAACTGTTCTGTTAGCTCTCAGTTCTCAACATATTTTCCCATAGAGAGTTTCTTTCATCGCTCTTTCTATAAAGCTGAAACATAATGAAAAAATATCACTAAAAGTGCTTGTTTTTCCAAGTAACAGGCTCAGATTGTTAGTGTCTAACAAAATCCCTACAGAGTATATGTAGTGTTGGAATATGAAGGTTTCAACTTTCTAGGAAAACAAATGAGAGAAACCCTCTGTGAGTAAAGACATTGTCTGGCAAAGGTTAATGGAACAGAGCCCAGCTTGAAAAGGGGTCAAGGCCCTGTTTGAGTGGTAACATTTGGTTTATTCATTCAGTGGTCTGAATGGTATTCAGCATTGTTTCTTAACTACTGTCTATACTTTCCTCTCAGGCCACCCTGCATTCCACAGCCAAGGGCAAGGCCAAGATACAGAAGAAGCTGGAGAAGAAGAAGCAAGTTGATGGGACGTTCAAGATCTACGAGGACGGGAGGAAAAGTGTGCGCTCGCTGTCCGGCCTGCAGCTTGGCAATGACGTCATGTTCCTCAAACAGGGCACATACACAAACTCCAAGGAGCGATCACGCCTCAACATCCGCGATATGTTCCCCCGCGACAATGACGACGACGCCGATACTGTCTCCCGTGCCATGAGCGACCCGGGCCTCCACGAGGCTGCGTATTCGGAGATCAGTGCCGACTCCGGACGGGATTCCCTGTTCACCCGACCCGGACTCGGCACCATGGTGTTCAGGAGGAACTATATGAGTGGAGGCATGTTTGGAATCGGGGCACGGGATGAAGGGAGTGTAGCAGGGAGTGAACCAGTGGGCCAGGTGCCCAATGTTCGCCTACGAGGACATTTGCCTCGACGCTCGCCCAGCTTCGATGAGGACAGTATTGGCAGCGCCTTGAGCTTGCAAGAAAGAAACCTTCAGGAATTGCCCTGGGAGGAGACAGATGTTGCGTTGGATCAGGACTTGGAGCCAGAGAACAGTCCTCTGGAGACCTTCCTGGCCTCTCAAAGTCTCAGTGAGTTCATCCAGATTTTCAGGCGTGAGAAGATCGACCTGCAGGCCCTGCTGCTTTGTTCAGATCAGGACCTCAGCAGCATTCATATCCCTTTGGGCCCCAGGAAGAAACTTCTGGACGCCTGCAGGAGACGTCTGGACACACTAGATGAACCAGAGGCCATTGAGGATACTGAGCTTTGAACTCCAGAATCTACATTTTGTTTTAAATGGGAAGCACCACTCTCCTTTCTGATAAACGTTTGTTGTCACACATAAGCTACTGTTTGCATCAGCATGTTGTGTAGATGACCAACATGAGTAGTTGTGAATGGCCTTAATGTTGCTGTTGACCCTAAATCTACAGTGAGTCACTAGTCAATTAGTTACATGTAGGGTAAAGATAGAAATTTGTTAACAATGGTTTTGTTTTGCAGGAGGAAGTTACCTTAAAAAAATAACATATAAGCTATCGCTGGAATCGGTCAAGACCAACTAGAATATTTGGCAAGAGAGTCCGAGTGCAAATACCAACAAGTCCAAGACAACTCTGAGACAATAGAAAAAGCATCTTGAGTCCAGACTTTTAGCTTTTCTAGCAGCACACTGAACCGCAAGTTCGACACCATCACTTCCAACAGGCCATAGTTGTAGGCAGGGGTTGTTTCTTCAGCCCTGACATCTGATTGGCCACCCCATTGTCCTTACCTCTGCCACTCCACACTGTCTTTCAGAGGCTAGAGTGAAGATACTGGTATCATATGAAACAAGATGACCTAAACTCTATGGAGTTTTTATAAACGTTATTTTCGCCTAGTTTATTTGAATATTTCTGCATTCTGGGGTCCATAAACAGAGTTGGAATTGGATAAATTGCATTGGTGTGAACCTGCCAGTTCACAACTAGACAAAACAGTATACCGTCTCCATAACAAAAACTCTCTTTACTTCTGTTCAACAGCCAGCTTTTTTTTTGTAGCTGGATATCATTTATAGCATCCTAAAATATAAAATGAGGATTTTAGATTACTGTCTACAGTTAGGTTTTATTGATGAAACGATGAGAACTCTTAATAAGAAGAGAGGATTGAGAATTAGGAGCCGTCCATGGGTGCATGGGTACATTTTAAGGCTTGTGTCAAACACATTGAATAGGTGATCTTCCTCTGTCCAAAACTCTGTGATTGACTTGACTAGCTGACATCCCAACATTTCTGCTCGGAAATGTCAATGTCATCCTTAGCTGTACATTGAGAGCAAACTAACTGTTAGCATGTTATAGCATGTTTGTTTGAGTCAGTCAGTTTTAAATTTGCTGATTTTTTGACTTAGTTTACTATATAATGGTAGATAGCTTTTAAAATAAAAACATACATATAGATAGAATATTTTAACTAAATCAACCACCCGTCACTGCACCTAGCTTAATCTAATGAGATCCACAGCTTCCAAAATGACCACACAGCTAAATTAACAACAATCAAAAAAAATTAGACTTTAATCTCCTGCAATTACATTTTACTCCCATGTAGCTTTTTCCCTTTACATTGGCTAACACACCTCCGCTGGAGACCTTCCTAACTTCACTCTTACCTTTGTTGCACTTGTTAAGGTGTGACAACTCAATTGTGGATGATTCTTTAAATATGTGCGACCGGAGCAAAGTCCTAGCATGGCTCAACCCAACTTCAACCTGCACAGAGATTAGCCAGAATAACTGAAAACACCTGTGTGCAGGTGTGCCAGCAGAGCCTTTTACAAGACCAGATGGCTTTTCTACCTGGCTAAATGGCACCACCTAGTGGCCACTTGTGGTATGTAGCTTTGGAGGACTAGAAGGCGTTGATGTTGATATCTCATACATTTTATCTGTTATACATAATGTTATTTTTTCTATTCATGTACTGGATTATTACACAGTGAATGCATGTATGATGTAGGCTCCATGTACTGTTATTATTCCTCAGTGCAGTCAGTGAAGGCAGCATGGAGCCTAGTCATCACACTGAAAAGAAGTAATAAACATTTTATGCCACATGTACAAACACATGTACACACATTCGGTATTGTGTTTGTATGGATTCTCTTGCAGTGAAATTACTGTTACTGTAACACTTCATGCATCGATGAATGATTTACTTATTAGTGAATGTAATCCTTTGAATGTACAGTTTTCTTACTTTATGACATGTTATTTTAATCCATGGCACATACACAATAGTGACTTACTATATATGGGGTTTATATATGGATGAAAATGGCCCCAGACTGACTGTTGCTCTGCAAACACTGTCGCAATAGTAAAAACAATGTGGTGGTACTGTGAGTTTATGTGAGTGTGTGCTAGATAACACTGTTATCTCAGGTTGCTCCGGGGCGTATTTGGTTTCACTGAAGGTCTGTCTGTCTGTGCACTTGAGAGTATGACTGTGCATGAATGTACATTTTAAAAAACTGTTTTTGTATCTGAAGATGTACCCACAACTGTGATTATCTTTTAGTAAAATAAAGTGGAAAATATTGGTGCTCTCTCTGTGTGTGTGTGAGTATGTTTTCATATAAGCAACCAGGCGTTTGCTGAGTATGTGCTTTTGCCTTGGCTCCCCCTTCGTGTGTCACTCTGGCCTGTGTGCACAAAAAAAGGACGGACACTGACGGCCTCGATTAGCGATTGTGTGAGTAAAACAACAAGCTCAAGGCCGTGGGAGGATGTAAGTAGAGCTGTCAGACAGCCTGGCGTTCTTATGTTTCTGGCTCTGCAGTACCTGCTATCCTGCGGAGTAAAAACACACACACACATACACACACACACACACACACACTGCATCTTTTAAAGAGCACACTGCAGTCAGTCAGCATGGCCTCAAGCCCAGAGTGCTGGCCTGTCTCCAGAATAAAAGCAGCACTGACATTAGATATGTGCACTCAGATTTATATACTCCCACCTGAGCCAACACATAAACACACCCCAACTATCGGGCCACATTCCTGCACACCAGCATCTTCTCCTTTCCACTCTGCACTTTTCCCCCAGTGAAGGAACAACTGAACAGCCACTGTTAATCCACTTCTCAGCCCTCCTTTCTCTCCCTCTCCTTTCCCAGGACATTTGCCAAGGTTACAGAGATGGGAGGGGAGAGTGGTGGTGGTGGTGGTGGTGGGGGAGCTGACACAAAGAAACACGAGGGGGGTGAGCGGCATGCAGAATGTATGAGACACCAGAGAGGAGGGAGACTCTGGGCTGAGCAGCTGTAGTTGTGTGAGAGGATTTTTTGGGTCCATCACGTCACGGTGTAGCCTCACATCTTCGGGCTGTGGGACAATAAATTCCACTGCTGCTGGATTGCATCAGGAGTCAGCTGACAGAGGGGGAAAAAGGGAGGAAACAGTGTAAGAGAGATGAGGAGGAGGTAGGAGAGGAGGATCCACGAGGCTCTTGAAGCAGCAGGAAGGGGGCTGGGCCTCTCTGACAATGCTCCTCGCCAATAAGGACTTTCGCAATGCTTGACCTGTGGACTCTTTGCTCAGGGTGCGAGCGCGTAGAGGCAGCGTTGAGGACACAAACCTCATGGTGACTTTGTTTTGAGCCGGTGATCAGCACAAGGAGGCAGGAGCTGACATGCAGAATGTACCGGAGGAGTGGAGGGAAGGACGGGATGAGAGAGGAGAGGGGAGGATGGGGGAGACGCTGGTCAGGAGGAAAGGGGATTCAGAACCCAGCGGAGAGAGGAAGGAGGGAGAGGAGTGGAAGAAGAACGGAGATGAGGAGGTGGAGAAGGAGTCACTGATGATGGAGCTGACGAGGCTGGTGCAGAAGGTGGTGAAGGAGAGCAGCTGGTGGGAGAGGAGGGGGATCGACTGCAGCATCCTGGCAGCAGCGTTCCTCTGTCTGCCACCTGGTAAGAGTCTGCACACACGTGGAAACTTCACACAGCGTTTCATTTAAAGGTCAAAAAAGTCACTAAATGATGTCAATAAAGAGGGTAAGTTATTACTGAACTGTCTGATGCAGTGTGTGTAATTATTTATGTTTTTGAGGTATTTCATACATCGACCTGCCCCCGGAACTGCAGATAAAAAGAAACCTTTTGGCTGAATCTGAAATATTTACATCATATTGATTAATTACTGTGTGATGTCCCTGATAAATTGATAAAATGTGGTAAACTTTCTTGGATGTAGGACTTATTTTTATCACCTTGAATTATATTTACTATATTGTCTCTACAGTGCAGAATTTATACTGGAGGAAAAGCCCAAGGTGACTTCTTTATTAATTAATTAATTTCTTGTCTTTGGCTGCAACTAACAGTTCTTTTTATTACAATTGAAACCCCCAAAATATTCATGACATTCATGTCAAAAACGGCAAAGTATAAAATATTCCCGTTTGAGGAGCTGAAAACAGTGAATTTTCGCTTTAATTATGAATAAATTAGCAAAAACAATCTGTCAACTCATGGACTAATCACTTGCTGTTTAATATTGTGCATCAAGCCTTACAGATAATTAAATCATAATAATTTCCGCCCGTGTCTCCTCTATTAATTAAGCATCGGGCATGTTTACATTTTTACACACACAGCTCTTCTGGACCCACATTGTTGTCGTGGCTGGTTGACACTGGCAGAGTCCCGTGGTCCCCCTCTATCTGGGTCACTGGTGGTCAGCTACTGACCTCAATTAGGATGAGTGTCTATTGTGACTCCCGTCACTCGATCATTGGAGCTGACAGCTTCCAGCAGCACCACAGGACACCTGGCTCCAGCTTCATTTGTAATCCAGACTTGTAGACGTCCCTGCAGTTAAAGCAGATCACTGCTGCATTCGCTCTGTGGTAACGAGTCCTCGTATGAATCCATGAGGGTGTAGTCGTGGAGGGGTGAAGAAGTTCTCACATCTGAACTGAGTCGCACAGAGCAGCCGAGCAGGCATCTGTCATTGTGTATCAGAGCCTGTGACTTATCGCCTCAAAATAGGCTCCTTTGAAATAGGAGGTGCTGTATATTAGCACCGCTTTATTGGGCTAGGAACATAAACCCGGATGATGGAGAAGCCCCACTGGCTGCAGGGTTGTTATAGGTAAAAAAGCCCAATCTGATACCACAGTACAACCACATGAAGGCTGCATCCCATTAATTATTGAGTGTGAGCAGAGTGAGGTCATTTTACCGTTAAACTTCAGGAAGTTAGTATAAATGTTTTAATGTTTGTGGATTGAATGATCAGAGACAATTAAAGAATATCATGAATTTAAATTCAGTAAAAGCTCATTTCTGCATTACGTGCAGGTCAATGTAAACAATAGCGACGCAGTGATGTCATCATGTAAGGGTGTCAGGCACAAAGCGCCACAGTCACCTCCAGTTAAGGGTAACGTTTCTTTCTTTCACCTGATCTTCCTGCCCGTCACGGTTGAAAGGCACACCGCTGCCGCAGTGCAACGGCCGGCTGGGTGCTCACATGACAGCTGTTTTCAGCCACATGGCGGCGTTGCTGTGGGGATGACAGCGAGGGTCAGATGGCCTGTTAATCCCACTCAAATACCTCAACAACTATTGGATGGATTAGCATTAAAATAGCCTTTTATGGTCCCAAGAATTAATCCCTGTAACTGTGCTGATCTCCTGACTTTTAATGTAGCAACAGTCAAAATTTCCACTTCCACACAGGTTGTGAGTGAATGCTAACTGTTAGCATGTCGTACTATCTGGCACTGCAAAAATAGCCTTTAATCAACAGTACACTGAAATATGTTCATGGAATTATTTTAGGCGAGTAAGTAAACTCATAAACTCCCATAAACTCATTAGGAAACTGTTTACTGAGCTAATAAATCAAGTGGGAAGTCAGCTCATTTCTCTATAAGACTGCATGCTATTGGCTTTTATAGCAGCCAGTGGAGCTCCCCCTGCTGGCCATTACACAGAATGCAGATTTAAACTGCCCAGTATACATTCTGTCAATATGAGCGACCCCTTTCACGTTATACATCAGTCATTTGATCCATTATTGTAGAAATATTGATTGTAGCAGCTTTATTTTGCATGTTAACGTAACTATGCTAATGTTATCATCATTCTAATGCATACTAGCCCTTTTGTCTCATGGTCCTGTATGGGTATGAACACTATCTGTCAGTGATATACTGTGTGTCCTGTTGCCAAGGTCAAGGCGTCAGTAGGTTTCCTGTGCTCTCTCTGTCTTGCAGCCTTCTTGCTGCTGGGCTCCTCGCAGGTCTTGTGGTTTTCAGCCGGCCTGCTGCTGATGGGCCTCGCTCACGCTGTCATCACCATCAAAGGGACACATCTGGCCAGCCACGGGGCCCTGAGCGAGTCGCAGGCCTGGGCAAAGTTCTGGGCCGTCTTCTTTATCGAGGTGAGAAACAAAAACACCTGAGGGCAAAGCTAATTTTTGAGTTTATTACTGTCACATGTAAAAATACTACTGCTGAGGTGCCCCTGAGCAAGGACATTAAAGGACCAGTTTGATAAATTTGGGGGAAAATGCTTATTTGCTTTCTTGCCGTGAGTTAGCTGAGAAGATTGATACCATACTCATGTATGTAAGGTAAATCTGAAGCTAGGGCTAGCAGCTAGTTAGCTTAGCTTAGCATAGACAGCTCTCCTGGCTCTGTAGGTAACAACTACTTTTCTATACTTTGTTGTTTTATGAATGTTTAAAGCTATTAAATGTAACATTTCAGCATTAAAATGTGTATAAAAAGAAGATCTGTGTTATATATTTGTTATTATGTTCACGTTTTACTCCAAAAACAACGACTTTATCAAACCTTTGTGTTGTAGCAGAAATGACATATTGTTTAAGTTATGTTTAATTAGTGAGCTTTAGAGGTGCTGGTAGGTGGACTGTGTTCAAATTGCTACCTGTCTCCACACTTTATGCTAAGCTAACGGGCTGTAGGTTCATATAGATGAGAGCATCACATACAGATACTTTGGCCTTTGCATCCCCTGCCCCCTTTTGGGTGAAAGCAGTTCTTTTTTGCCAATTTAATACCATACAATAAGAATATTGTATTGCTTTTTAGCCATAAAGAGCCAAAATCCTAAATCCAGCAAGGCAAACAAACAAAACAACTATATTATGTCACTGCTGATCAACACTTGCCGTTGTTATATAGAAAAAATGCAGAAATATGGGTTGATGAGTGTCCTTTAAGGTTGAAATACCCTCTGCTCCACACTGTCAAACCAAACTCCATTCAAAAAACAGCTGTTTTAATGTAGGGACATATTTTCTCACAGTGAAAACTTTATTTACATCATCACTAAGACTCTTTTCTAAATCTCTTCAACCTACAGACACAATCGGCACACATGTCATTTACTCAGTAACATCAATAACTAACCTGTGATGAAGTGTTTGACACACACAGGAATAATGTTTATATCCCAAAACACTCTCCTTTAACTCGCTGCTGTTGTATACGTCTGCTGTAAGCGTGTGTGAGTGTGAGGCCTCACCACCGACCGACGTGTACGACCCTAGAAACAGTAATATTTACATGAGTGAATGATTATCCTGGCCGGATGTGTTTAACACAGTGAGCGAAGTTATTAAAGCTGTGTTTCATAACCTCAGAGCTAGAACACAGTGAACCTTTGAACCTGTGGACTCGGATGTTTACTGAACATTTAGTGCCTCTTAAATCAAACAAAATGTTATCATAACCTTTGACCCCAGCCTATTATTAGCTGCTCATCAAAGCATATGGGAAAAAAAAACAACATAAGACTAAGCCAGTCAATACCAATATGGATCGTTTTCATTGATTGTATTCAAGAAAGTAATCTCTAAAAAAAGAATAATTTAACTAGCTAACTAAAGATTGACGTCTATTATTTAGCTGATTATTCAGTATTTTTTTCTGTAATTAAACTAGCTACAGTAAAGCTAGCTATCGAGTTAGTTAGTGTTTTGCTAAAATTATTTAACTAGCTAGCTAATGATTGTCTAGCTAGTAATCTAGTTTTTTTCTGTAGTAAAACAAGAAAATATATCTAACTTTGTCTTAAGATATTACAGCTAATATGGAGATTGACTGATTTATTATATATTATGCTGTTTAAAGAAATTCTGTCTTACTGTAAAATATTTTTGCTAATTATGAATCTCAGATTAAATTCAGCTCAATAAAGTGACTAAAATACTTATTTTAAGAAACGTAAACAACTGAGTTTTTATTGCTCATAAGAAGCACAGCTTTGGCTTTTTAGGCCCATTACAGCCTCTGAGTGGCTGGAAAATGTGATTACATTTAAGAATATTTGGCTTGTTTCTAGCGGGGCTGCTTTGTTTGTGTTGCATCAGTTTTGTTGTTTTGGATGTTCATAAATGTGCCCATCTGTCCTTGTGTTCATCCACTCAGATCTGTGGCTCATTCTCAGCGCGAGCCGGCATTCAGGGCCACATTAAGATGCATCACGCTCACACTAATGTCATTGGACTGGGTGACTCCAGCGTATGGAAGGTCCCCTTCCTGCCTCGCACTGTCTACCTGTTTATAGCTCCCCTGGCCGTGCCTATCATCACTCCACTTGTTGCACTCGGTAAGAGGCGCCACAGGACCGAGAAAGGGCTAGACGCTTTATGGGTTTACTCAAATATTTCAACATTAAATGTGACTGTCAGCGTAAAGTTCTTACCTTCTGATGCTGTTCAAGTTCTCGTGTTACCTCGCCTCTCTCACTCAGCTGTGAGTTATTTTCATACATGTGATGGTTTCTGGTTTTGCAGCTCACCTAAAAGGACACTCTTTGGCCCACATCGTCAGGACCATCCTGATGGTAACACTGGGCCTGTATTCGCAGTACTGGCTGCTGATCCACGTCTCCGGGTTCCTGTCGCCCCTCAGCGCTTTGCTCTGCATGCTTGTGTGCAGAGCAATGTTCTCTGTGCCATATATCCATGTCAACATTTTCCAGGTGAGAAATACCTGCAGTACTGTACATGTTGTTGAGCTGTGGGAGACTGCACTAAGGTGCTTTGAGCTCAATGTCAGCATGCTAACATGAATGGGCCGGTTGCAGCATCTGGTCTTTATGAAACCTGGTCTTAAGTGCTAAGTTGGTCTTTGTTATTATAGACCAGTCTTTATAATGGACTTCGGTTGCACCAAGCAAACCTAAACCTGGTGTTAACTACTCAACTGCGGTTCACCTAGAGACGGGGTCTGCTTGAGGTTTCAAGAAGGTTTTTCCTTGCTGCTGTCTGAAGCGTCAGAAGTAAAAAGTTAAAACGTTAACGGCTATAAACAAACTAAACCACAGTCGCATGACTCCAACGTCGCAAAGTTTGAGTTAGAACAGTTTGCGGTAGATAAGTTGTGTTCGGTGTGCTGACGTTTAGCGCCCCGACAACTTCTGTAGTATCAGTGAGCCACTTGTTAGCAACCGCCTTTTTTCTGCTACACAAGTGGAGTATTAACTATTATTATAGTGTTTTGTGTCATAGAACAAAACATAAAAACCTCTTAAGGTATCTATCTACAAACCCATTCAAAAAACAACAACACTGATTTTGAGGAGATGTGCATAAATGCTAACTAATTTCTGGGTTTTAGAGCTCCTGCTGCTACATGTAGAGAACAATCTCAGCACGTCCATTTAGTAGCTGTTCTGGAGCTTGCAGTCGTATCACATGATCTTCAGCAGTGGCCAACTTGAGCCAACACCAACAAGAACTCCTTGAAATTTTGATCCACATTTCCCTGACAGCTGTAAAATCCTTCTCTAATTAAGATCATGTGATATGACAGAAAGCTCCAGAACAGATATCGGTCATATGTGTTCACCTCTCACAGACTCGGTAAAGACTGCAGTGTCATTTCAGGCCTAAAGATTATGAGAGCACCTCTTGTTACACAGCCGTCCTGTTGAATGCAGCTTTGTGTTCTCACAGATCAGACCAGTCGGGGAACTAAAGGGATAAAAAGGAACAATGCATGCATGATTTTCCCAGTTGGAGTCCCGCAGGTCTTTGTGCATTGTTCTGATCAAAGTGTGTGAAGGTGGATTAGAAAACACAGGTTCTTGATGTGAAGTCGGAGGTCTAACAGGGCGAAAACGTTTGTTCTCTATGGGGGGTCAGACTGAAAACCTGTTCTCTCTCCCGTCTCCTGCCGCTGTTGTTGGACATTGACATGACCTGTATTTCCCCTGAACTCAGCGTTCCCATGTACTTCTAACCGAGGATGACCTTTGGTTTGGTTGACATTGTGTACTAAAAACTTGTTTTCTTGTTGTTGTGGTCCATCGTTGTCAAACAAATATTAAAATTCGAGGAATTGAAATCCAGTTTGGTTGAACTGGCTCCTGATGAACATTTTTTCTTGCGTTTTATTTAATTTTTTTGTCACGTTTCTCTGCAACCACAGATAAATATGTATATTTCCCCTTAGAAAGAATCATATTTGCTTTCCCGGCTCACTAAGACCATCGTTAAAGAACAGGTCTTTATTTTATTTTTGTAATATTCTCACGTCACAGTGCTCTATGGATGTGATTATAATACGACTGTGCTGTTCATTAAAACGATCATTAGGTAGTTACCTATCATTTCAGTGGATTTTGGGCTAATACATTTTCCTAATAAAATTTACAATGTCCTCCTCCCGCCCTCGATGCCAAGACATGTTCAACATTGTTCACGAATAATAAACCTGGCAATGTCCTCAAAAATGTAACAAACCTTCCAACAGTACATTACAATATGACCTCTGGGTGGTTTATGTGCTGTTTAACCCACTTACTGCAACCTTATGAACCTAAAATAAACACATTTTGCTGTGATTTTTTTGCAATAAACAAGTCAAAAGGAGGCTGAAATAACAACATCATGATGGCGATTAGTAAAAAGTCTGAATTCCTACTTTGTCCAGTTTGTCCACAAGACGACAAACAAACATGTTTTAAAATGTTTGTTTTCTGAATGGACTTTGGTTTGATCCGGGCTGTGCTAACTTAGTTCACAGTGAAGTTAAAACAAGACCTTGGATTAAATAACATAGTGACCTTCTTACCAGGATGATATGATATGTGTGACTGCCTGTAGACATTTAACCAAACACGTCTAATACTGTGTGTATTCGGCAGCACATCGGCCTCCACATGTTCTCTCAGACCCGCCGACCAAAGAGGATCTACCAGATGACCCACGGAGTCCTGAACCTCCCTCGCAACTTCCTGCTGGACTGGATGTTTGGACACTCGCTTATCAACTGCCACGTGGAGCACCACCTCTTTCCCTTCTTGTCTGATAACATGTGTTTAAAGGTACCAAACAACCCCAAGTCATTATTATGTTATCACTTTCCACATGTAGTGTTTGACCTGGGATTGTTTTTCACTGCAGTGGATTGTTGTTCAGCACAAACAGAGAATGCTTTGTGGCACAGTTGTTAAGCTAAGGTTGACCCTGTGTCTCTCCAGGTGAAGCCCGTCGTGTCCAAGTATCTGACTGAAAAGCAGCTCCCGTACCAGCAGGACAGCTACCTCTCCCGCCTGCGCCTTTTCTTCCACAAATACCAGGAGCTGATGGTGTTTGCCCCGCCGATCACAGAGCTGGTGGGAGTGCAGTGAAGGAGGAAAACCCATTCAGACTAATGCTGCTAAAAAAGCACAAGCTTCAGTGTTTAAATGCATTTCTGCCGACTTGTTACAACCTCCACAGTCCAGGTTTGAAGAGTCTCTAACATACAGGATAGGTTTTTAATCAATAACACACGATGTTAGGAGCTAAATTAACATGAAATCTTCATGATATTGTTTTTTGTTACTTTAACTGAATGTATATCATACACTATTAGAGGTAATTTAATAAATAGCACAACCAAATTTAAATGGGGTTTAATGGGCGCTGCATTAAAAGTTTAAAGTGGGAGATTAATCACAGCTTTTGAACTGACCTGAGGCCTGTTTCATGAAGCAAATAATTCGATTTAGTGAGGCTCTCTGTGAGGTACCTGCTGGTCCTGGTTAACTGGTTCGACAAAGATGGATACCAGCCGCCCCCATTAACTCTGGAAATTGTTGATGCTCACATGCAGCAGTAGAAAATAACAATTCATAAAGGTAAAGGTTAGAAACTAAGCACAGTAGAGTATAAATATAGCAATAAAAACAGAAAATAAGCAACAAAACTATCCAAATGTGTTAAATTCTTACAGAATTTAATATACGTTTTGTACATCATTTTGTAGTATTTCAAATGTTTCTTTTTAGATTATGTTTCTGTTCTTTATGCTAAGCTAGGTTAATCACCTGCTGGCTCCAGCAGCGTACTGCGTTTACCAGTACAGACAGACAGGTGTTGATCTCCTCATCTAACTCAGCAAAACAGTGACAGACTGCAGACAGTGGAAACGTGTATTAAACTGCAGCTGTAATGAAGTCATTGATCCAGCTTTGTGAGACAGGCCCCCCCGTTGCCGTAGTGACAGATGTTGGTGCTGTTGTTGTCGATGCAAATATTTGATTTTTCTTTGTCCTCATGTCAAAGGCACATCCGTTACTGCACTGTAGTTACAGTCCATACAGTAGAGGTGTTTCAGTGTATTTTATGTGGTCTGATAATAAACGTTAACATGAATTTTCAAGAATTGTTTTGTTGCTTTTATTGACAGTTTAAATTTCAGTATCCAATCATCTGTGCTGCCTCTATTAAATCATCTATTTATACACATTAAATTAAACTATCTATAACTTCTCTGAACCCTAGAAACCAGTTGTTCCCAACCCATTCTCTATCTTTTAGTAAAAGTAGTTCACTGAACTAGGTTTCTAGGTTGTTTTCACGTTGGTTGTTATAACTGCATACTTTTTTAAGGCAGGATGATGAGATACCGACCTATTGTGTATATTTTTTAAGTTTCCTTACTCCTTTTAAAATCCAGAAGACCTTGTGACCCCCTGTAAAGCTTTGGCGAGCCCTAGTGGGGAACCTGCTCTAAAACATTTGTGACTTTTTATGCATCTTCGGGGTGAAAATAACAAGAATAAATCCAACACTAATTTCTCTGTTCATACATGTTTTGTTCTGCACTTTTCTATGTCTTACTTACTTACAGCGGCAGACTTCCCTCCCTCTTATTCTTTGGAAGCTTTTTCTGGTTAATTTCATGTATGAATTTTTTTATTAAAGATTTAAAACATATAAACCATTAAATCCTTTTAAAATCTCGGCAGAATAAACTCACAGAGAAAATGTAAGAAGGATTTAAAGTTTTTTATCTAAACAAAAGAACATGTCCCTGATTGGCTGCACACACATGTGACACAGAACCACATGAGAGCTGCTCAATGTGTTCCTCTTACACTTCACTGTGAGTCTTATTCTGTTACTCTGTTAGCTCTTGTTTCCCTCACAGTAATTATCTGACAACCACAGGCTGCGGTCACTTGGTGGCAGCATTTGCCCTCAGTCTTTCTGTCTTTCTTTTCTTTTTTTTTTTGTTGCTCTGTGATCTTGCTGATTCACTCCGTATTTTTGCATTTCACTGGATTTTCCATTTGCACTTTGGAGCAGAATTCAGCAGAAATGCCCACTTGAAGCCTGACACAAAGATCTCCTCAGATTCATCGAGATAATTCAATCACACTGTAACAGATACAACAGAGCCACAGTGCAGTTAATGAGAGAGTGATGTCTGCAAACAATCAAACTTGTAAGATTTAGTTCATGTTCAAACAAAGTGCATGTGGGAGACTGCAACTCTACACCTCTTTGCTCCTCGTTTGCAGCGTGGGCCCCGCCCTGTGGTTCCTTTCTCCTTCAGGGAAGGGGAGGGCAGTGATTGTGCGTGGGGGTGTATCACTGTTTGCTGGCCCGCCTTGTTGCATGTGAGTGCTGAAGGGGTGGATAACATTTTAGACTGAAACTAAAGCCTTGACTGACATCCTAGGTGGGGCTCTCTCTCTTTAGGCTGATCCAGGAACTAACCAGCTGACAAAAAGTGGCTGAGCCAGTTATTTTCGGAGAGCATAAGAGAGTGGAAGCGAGGCCTGGCTGAAACACAGAGGGACTGACTGAAGAAATGGCAAACACAGCAGCTGAAGAAGCAGCTCCTGTCTCCAAGCAGCAGCAGCAGCAGCTCTGTGGGGTATGCTCAGGTGAGCTGAGCGGAGGCAAACCAGCACCCTGCGGCCACCCTGTTTGTGGCACCTGCCTCGGGGACAAAAGTAAAGGATGTCCCGAGTGTCTGCAGAGCCCTGACAAGCCTGAACCTGCTGACAGCCTCAAAGAGAACGGGACAGAAACTGAAACTCCTGTGATCAAAGAGGAGCAATGTCAGGACTCAAAGACGGCAGAGGAGGTCAAAATCCAAGAGGACCTGAAGGAGTCTGAGGAGGAGAAGAAAGAGGCAGAACCCCAGGCAGACGGAGAGCTGAAAAATGGAGGCGAAGAGGAGCTCAAAGAAGAAGAGGAACCTTTGGGCCCAGACGATGTGGTGTGTGACTCGTGTATCGAGAGCCCCTGCAGGGCCCTCAAGTCCTGCCTCACCTGCCTGGTGTCGTACTGCGAGGCCCACCTCCGGCCTCACCTGGAGAACCCGAAGTTTCAGAACCACCGGCTGGTAGAGCCGCTCAGGGACATCGAGAGGCGGACCTGCGAGAGCCACAAGTGGCCCCTGGAGCTTTTCTGCTGCGCCGACGACTGCTGCATCTGTCAGGACTGCGTGACGGAGGACCACAGGGGCCACAATACCCTCCCTGTGGTCGAGGCCCGCAGCCAAATAGAGGCAAGTAATACGTTTCTTTTACTCTGCATTCATTAAAACTGCATTTTATTATATGTAAATATATTAAAATCAGCTTTCGGTTGACTGAACTATTCCTCTGAAACTATTCTGATGAGCAGTTAATCATTTATGGAGGGGTTTCTAACCTTTATGGTTTGTGACACCTCATCACAGGTTACAGCTCAGTGTGAATAAACCAGTCATTGTTTTCTTCACACATTTTTCCTCTTTGAAGGAATTTTATAGGCCTGGAGAGATAAAAGTATCCAGCGTTTCACAATAAAAAAAACCCACTTATTTCTGGGTTCCTGGCTGGGAAATTCTAATTCATTTATCAGTTATTCAACATAAGACCACAAGATTCTCAGATTACACTGAGCCTCCTGTGTGTTTTCTTGTTTTATTTTCACCAGTTTGATCAGACGAGGACTGAAATCATTCTTATTGACCATTAAGAGAACAAAATATGATATCATAAGTGCCATTAATTTGCCATTTGTTCACAATTTAAATCTCCAAAACAGGGGTATACACATTGCTACTTTCACATATTACACACACACATATATATATATATATATATATATCAGAAATCAGACATACTTTATTGATCCCTGGGGGGAAGCTGGTACAGTTGCTCAAGACATTATAATAGCAGAAATTATAACAGAATGTTAAAATATGTGCATTAAATTCCAATATATAACAACAATATATGTATGTATGTATATATATATATATACGGTATATATATGTATATATACTATATAATATCAGCACCAGTGAAGGGGGGGGGCTGGATCTTGCATCCCTGCTAACCCTAACCCTAACCCAGTCCACAATGCTGATCACTTTAAATCTAATTAAGACAGTAGATTCTCACTTAATATCCGCTGTAAAGCCCCATAATCAGAGGCTCGCTTTGTGTGATCAACTGTTTGTCAGCCTGGAAACTCAACACTCCATTTAGACCCTCTGACGCAGAGAAAGCTCAAGCTTCAGCCAAAGTGTCATCTGGCAGTTAGTGACCCTCAGGTTCAAGCATTCAGGTCCACATTCCTGCAGAGATCTGTAGCTTTCAGCCTACACCTGTTATTTGTGCAGTCATAGTGCTTCATTACAGGGGCAAAGCAAACACGGCAGGCAGGCCCGTAGTGTCAATAAAGCTAAAATGTAGGTGAAATGCCACAAATGCCACTCGCTCACTTTAAGTTTGACTTCCGTTTGAGCAGACACAGGACAGACACAGGAAGAAAAACATGGAACTTCCTGGTCCGAGCTCTTGTTCCACATTCACCTACTAGAAATCCTCCTTTTGGAGAACTCATTACATAACTCACACCTATGTTTAGCCTTATCTCACTGTCCACTGCTGCTTCGGTTTCACCCCAGTAATGCCTCTCATGCAGGGGCGCTGCCAGGCATTTGGGGCCAATGACAAAAAATCATTGGGCGCCCTTGCGCAGCTGTTTGGTCACCACGATTTTGCGACTAATGTCATCAAAAGTTTACGTTCAAACTCTAATTAAAGAGCTTGCAACTGTCTTGCTGTTCTTGTAGTTTCAATACTGAGTATAGCATAATACCAGGTACTGCTGGTGATTTGTACATGCAAGGGCCAAGTCGCATACAGTATCGCAGTTCACGTAATCTGGTGATGCAAGTTAAAAGCAACGCATAAAAAATGTTACGGATTTTTTTTTAGCAGGAATGTATTTCTATGTGGCAAACAAGGGGATTTCAAAATGATTCGCTTAACGAAATTAGTTTACTTCACTTATATTTATCAATTATTATCTATAGATTCATTAATGAAAGATTTAAAAAGAACAAAAGGAACAAGACTTAATATATGATCTAGTTTCAATCCAACAATAAATTAACATTCATCTTCAAAACCAAATGAAAACAGCAGATTTTTTTACTTAGTTGGCACATATAAGTATACAACGCCAAACAACAAAGGGCCCACCAACAAAAAACCCAAACACCAACCCAGCGGCCAGGTATGACACAACAAAGAAAATCTAATTGACATGTTAAAATCGGAGATTTCCACACCAGGGTTGATTATAGGTGGTACAAAAACCACATCAAGTGACACTAAATCAAGAAAAGTTTTTTATTTATTTCCATAACCATGATATTTGTGAGAAAATAATCTGTTATTAATGTGTTGAATTTCCTGATCATTAAAACTGGGTTACACCATTGACATCCTGCCTTTGTTTTCCTCCTCCTCTCTTGGTTCTCTCTTTCCTTTTTCTGAAACCAACAGATTTTGATTACAGGCACAACACTGTGATGCACCTGCGTAGTTTCTGGCGCCATCGCGCATCTACTGCACTGCAACTAAACATCCGTCCACTTGTGCGCCTAAGCAGGACCCAAACGATTGCTATGCCAGATACAGGGGGGGTGGTCGGTCAAATGGATGGTTTACTTTTTTGTCCAATGTGATATTAACTTTTCTGCAACGTACAAAACAAAAGAGACTTCACACATTTATTATCAACTTTGCAAATAATTATGAAATGATGATGGTTTAATAATTTTATATTAGTTTTTACCTATTTTTTGGGGCCCCTGTCAGTCATGGGCCCGACGCCCCTGCCTACCTCTGTGAAGGTATTTCTAGAAAAAGGTTGATTGGATAGATCAGAAACACTGAATAAATGAACAGTAAATACTATTAATGATATGTACAAGGCTAACTGTGAAAAGGGGCTAAAATAAGGATGAAACTGCGCTGTAAGCTGATCGGCTAACGTTACTGTAGAGCTGACAGGAAGTTATCAGACGTACAGTTCGTAAAATGGAAGGAAGATTTTTATCAAATTTGACATATATTTACGACTCTT